TTATGAGTTATTTAAGTAAGTTAATTTATGCTTATTCAACGTAAAATCATATTAAGTCTTTATGTAATGTCGTAATGCATAAAAAATAATTCTGAATGTTCTTAATGATATTTAATTATGTTTGTGACATTTCGAACGTTGAACAAATTTTGTGCAAATAATAATTTACCATGTTCTTTCTTATCCAACATTCCGGTGTTACATGTAAAATGGAAATAAGTCAGACAACATCAGAAAATATAAGACATTTTAATACAAATTCATTTTACACGTCTTTTAACGCGACTGGAAGATTTGTTATAATTTATTCAAACATTAAAAGAAATCATTATATTTTAATTGTGTTAAAAAAAATTAATAATATTCATATAACCATTGTTTCCAGATTGCGATTATTTATTTGCTGGAAGTTATTTGCCGTTGGGTAATAACTTTTACTTTAATAATTATCAGGTAAGTTTACTTCAAAATTCTAATCTATGCATTACTTAGAATCGAGTAACTAACATTCTGACAGAAACAGAAGTAAAATATTATCTTACGTAAGCCAAATACGAAGCAAAAGTTAATATGTAAAAACTGAAAAATATCTCGGAATATTGAAACTCTATATTATGAAAACTTCAATCTTTTTACAAACACTTTAAAGGAGGAGCGGGCATAAAAGTTCTCGTGCCAGTATTTAGTTTCTTACTGCGCGATATAACGTATCAAGCAAAGTGTATTTCTCTAATGTCCACAGGCGTCCAAAATCCTAGTTTCGGCTCTGTACGCCACTAAACAATTTAATGTTTGTTTCAAAAACTTACTTTACTGTGATTAACGTTAATTACTTCAAATTCTACTTAGGGGAGATCCTTCTACTTTGGGACACTTTTCTTTAAACCTTCATAATTTAAGTTCTAATTGATCTTTAGCTATGACTATTGAATATTTCTATTAGTAATTAATAACATCACTATATATAGTGCAACACTTGACCCTATGCTATTTTATTTATGAGAAAATGTCAAATAATTACTTGTAGATATTTGTCCCAAGGTACAATCATGGATTGTATTTCGGGACACCAATGTTTGTACCTTGGGACACGAACAATCCTAACGTTTCTGTAAATCTTAACTTCCGCCAGATGAAAAAAAAAGGATAGTTTATCCAAGTCTTTTCCTTTATAACAATATTAGCTTTATCAGTTAACAAAAATGTTTTATATGCTGGAAATGCAGGTAAGTATAAAACTTAAGTGTTCTTTAGAAGGCATTTAAATGATTGAAAACCAAAGATAATCTCCTTTTTGTATTAAGAAAAAGAATAGTCATTACAAATATAGGTCACAAATATTAATACTGTACTTACTAATTTTTTTAGAATTAATACCGCATTTCTGACAGTAATTTTCGAAAAAGNTACGACCAAAAACATATCAGATGTATAAAATCATACATGATGATAACCCGGGATGTTTTTAATTTCAAGACTATTTACAAAAATGATAACATTTTCGAGACTTTTCTTGTTCTTTTTCACATTACCACAGAAGTAACAGTAGATCGGCTTGAAGAAACTTCACTAAAATGACAATAATCAATGACTAAAAAATGTTTACCCAAAGTTAAAACAGAACAAATCGCCGACTTTTTATTTGAGGATTCGGCGCTTTTAATACTAGAACAATAATAACAATTTTCCACAATCATCATCCTGTCCTTTAGTCTCAATATATAACTGGTTCTGTCGGTATCGGGTATTCACAAACATTTATTTGCAGGAATCTTCAAATAAACGTTGGCGAATTTTTACGTTTTTACATTGTGTAAACATTTTTGAATCATTTATATTGCTTTATTTCCGAGAGAAGTCTTTTATATGTAATTATGATTTATAGGTTTATGGGAATTTTAATAAATTAAAGATGCGCCTATTGCACGTTGTATCTGCATCTCACAAGCTCAAGGTTGATAAAAACTAATATTTTATTTGTGAAAATTGCATAATTTTGTTAGCGTGACGTATTTACGTTTTCTATTGTTACGTTGGCGATATGCGTTAATAATATAATATTGACGATTGTTGAGATTTGATTGTCAAAACTTTTCGATGCGAATTTTGCGAATGCAAATATTTTTTTCATTATGAGTTATTTAAGTAAGTTATTTATGCTTATTCAACGTAACATCATATTAAGTCTTTATATAATGTCGTAATGTATAAAAAATACGAAATTAATAATAAATTTTACCGAGACGTTTAAATAACCCGAAAATATTATACAATAAATTGTAATAACCACCGCTGTTAGATTCTCTCGGCTAAATAGAAAAGATGTGAAGTAGAACTAAGTCGATGTCATTAATAACAATTAATTGCCAAGAATTACTTCTAAGTAATTTAATTCTGCTGTTTTCAAAGTAAAGTAACGCATACAAATAGAATGAAACGAAATCTCCTAGCGCAAATTTTATAAACCAGACCAGCCACTAAGCAAATATGAATTACGACCGAGGAAATGTGTTACGCACCGATAATACTTTTATTAAACTTACGATTAAACTTAAGTATATTTAGTTTATTTATTTATTTCCTAGAAACTGTGCTAAGAGAATTTCTTAACTGCAAAAACTAAACACACAAGAAATTGAGAGAAGATTAACGAAATATTTCTAAATGNAAAGACAGAAATTTAGTTTTTACTTTTTACGTTTAAACATCTATAATGCAGGTTTTTCGTAATTAAGCCACGTTGCCAACGATAAGAGCGCATTTTTATTTAAGGATAAGATAATATCTGCAATTTTTCTCGTTTTCTTTTATCAAAAAACTAGCAGACCCCGCCACGCCTTATTGTGGCTCAAAATGTATCTATTATAAATGTATAACACTTCCCCCCTGAAAGAAAATTTTTCCAAAAATTTCTTCTTAGTGTACATTCTCTTGACGTACCCTATTAAAACACAATCAAAAACGCAAAAACCTGCATCTAAAATAGTATAATAGAAGCCAAGTTTTTCACAGTAAGCCTTAATTCTGTCCCTCTCCCTTGCGGGGGGAATATCGAAAAATCCCTTCTTACTGTACATTCTGTTGACGTACCCTATTAAAACGCAATCAAAAACGCAAAAACTCGCATCTAAAATAGTATAATAGAAGCCAAGTTTTTCACAGTAAGCCTTAATTCTGTCCCTCTCCCCCCAATGGGGTAATTTCGACATGTATTCAACAGCCTATGTTCACCCTGAGGTTCCATTCTAAATATTGGTGAAAGAATTTATGAAATCGGATGAGTAGTTTTGTAGATTACCTGCTGCATACAAACATTACCTCTTTATTATATTAGTATAGATCATCATGTTGTAAGACTCAGAGAATTTATCTCGAAGTTACGTCTCTTATTTATATAATTCTAAATTAACAATATGAAACCAGTAATATTGCATTCTCTTGTTGTCTGAGCGTTTTAAAGAGTTCAATTCTTACAAAATTTCTATAACAGAGCTGAAGTTTTGGCTCACATTACTTGAAAATAATTCGACCAAATACACACGAGTATTGTTTATTTAGTTTGCGTTTGGCAGTGTTGCAAACCAAAACAAGCAATTGTTCGTTGTGACATCCTCACCAAGCCAAGCTGCAATTTTTAATTATATTTGAAATTCAATAAATTTTTAATAGAGGAGAAGGTGGTATTATGGAACACTGCGGGTATTATGGAACACTGCGGGTATTATGGAACCACCCCATTTCGAACTGATAATAAAGGCGAACTGTAGCGGAATGTGGCCGAACTGAACTAGTCAGACATCCATAGCAAGGGGAAAACCCGTTTTACTTTAGTTAAACGGTTGTTCGTATTTAATCAGCAAATTTGTTTTTTTTTTTCAAAATTCACAAGTTTTGAATGCTAAGTGAATTTAATTATTTTTAAAATATAAATCGTGTAGTTGTAGGTTCACTGGTGCATGTATTCCGTTCCAGAGACTTAGGGGTACATATTAATCTGTGTGATGTTCACGTTTTTTAAATTTTGGTCTCGACAGACATAAGTTAATTCGAGATGGCGATGCGTGAAATACGGACCCCTTTGGTGCTTTTACAGTAATATGGAACTCAACTCCTCCGAACTCTCTCTTTGCAATCAGACATTCGTCCGGAGCAATTTGGGAAAAAGACACTAGGTAGAAAGTCGATTCTACCTGAAAATATCGAAAAAGAGCTGCTGGAATATATATTGTTGATGGAAATCATATTTTTCTATTATAAAAGCCTTTTTGCGATAAAATACATTGGAGTAAATAATTTTGTAATTATTTAACATTTTTTGTCCTTTCCTATTTGTTTTTGGCTACATTAAAGCATGATTTTGAAAATATACAGTAAGGTTCCATATTACCACTCGATTTTCTCTAAGCCTACATTCGGACTTTTTGTACAAAAGCCTTCAAAAACCATACTTATAATTACACTAGGGAAAAATCCAATTAGGAACATTTAGTTTAATAGTTACCAGTACTTTTCACACAGAAAATGTGGGTGTAGTTATGATACCTTGTTTACAATTCACTAAAATGTAATTGGGGTTCCATAATACCGCCTTCTCCTCTACGCTTTCTACCTCAAATTAGTAGTGACCTGTTCCTGTATATAATAATTTTTTTAACAATAGTGTCATCTATCTAACTGCATTCGGTAGGAAATCTTTGAACGGAAATAAAGTGACTTTCAATTTGCATCGAAAGTTCATATATAGTTATTTGGGTATGCTACTCCTAAGGTTTTTATTTGTCGGCTTTCTTATATATAACTCCGTTCTTGAAATTGAGAAAAGACAGACTCATAGTCTGACAGACAGCACTGAAAACTTATGAGTCGACAATTGTTTTTTAAGTTGCAGCTCAATTATCCAGCATAAAGCGAGTACTTAAACTTGATGCTTTGCCTACAAAATTCTGTGGCGCGTTTCTTTTTAAACACATCGAATAATTCATTGTGTTCTTATATTTATAAATATCTAGTCTTTGCTGTGAAATTACATTCTAAACATACGTTAAAATATTGTTATATAATATCTGAATTAACCTATTTTAATAATTACTCTGTTTTCTTTTATATTTAAGTTTCTGATTCTTCAACTGATGTCGAAGACAATAGTGAAACTACTTCTTCCCACTTAGATCAAAATAATGCAAGCAATTTCACCAAACATACAAAAATTACTGAAATTATCGAACCAGAAATTCCCTCGAATAGAAATCGAGAAAGAAAAATCGACGAAATTTCTGATATTTCCGATGACGAAGGATTTTCTTCTAACGTAAGCTGATAGATTATATTNGCGCGTTTCTTTTTAAACACATCGAATAATTCATTGTGTTCTTATATTTATAAATATCTAGTCTTTGCTGTGAAATTACATTCTAAACATACGTTAAAATATTGTTATATAATATCTGAATTAACCTAGTTTAATAATTACTCTGTTTTCTTTTATATTTAAGTTTCTGATACTTCAACTGATGTCGAAGACAATAGTGAAACTACTTCTTCCCACTTAGATCAAAATAATGCAAGCAATTTCATCAAACATACAAAAATTACTGAAATTATCGAACCAGAAATTCCCTCGAATAGAAATCGAGAAAAAAAAATCGACGAAATTTCTGATATTTCCGATGACGAAGGATTTTCTTCTAACGTAAGCTGATAGATTATATTAATACTAAATAATTCTTACATCCTTTTAAAGTTTATCACAGAAAAATAAATTAGAGTAATGTATTATTGAAATAGAATGCAAGTTATTTATTTATTATTAAATAAATTTTATGCCAATTAATGAAAAAATATTTTGATATTTGAATGTTGTTCCTAACAGAAATCACAATCACTTTCTACTTTTCATGTTTTCATTAAGCATGCAATACGGTTTTTAATACATTAATTTGCAATAAAATTGCTGAATATAGATTTAACATTTTTAAAGTAAATTCCAAATTTAAAAATATTGATTTTTCGCTATTTTACAGAATTTCTATGAGCATGAGAATGAAGATTCTACGGAACAATTCACGGAAACGGTGGACGACATGTACATTCACAGACCGTTAAAATGGGCTTTTATAAATTTTGAAAGATTTTCTCTTGTAAACGGAATCATTTATGAAGAAGACGAGTTTGAATCCGAAAATGCGTCATCAGAAGACGACGATTCCATCCACTCAGATAGCGAAATAGAAAACAGTGAACATTCCAATGATGTCGTCGTCGACTCCATTAACGAAATTCAACAAATGAATGTTGAAAGTGAAGTGTCGTCAATATCTTCCACGAAAGATGACGTTGAGGAAAAAAACTTTGTTAATAATAGGAATACGACATCACTACAAGTCATTCAATGCACCAAAAGTGAAGAAGGTGTGAAAGGTAAGATTACAATTATTTAAAATACGCTACTAGCCAAGTGAAATGCAGCATCAAAAAATTCAATACGCAATCAGTATACACTTAACAAAATTATTTCGTATGATCTGAATATTTATATTTTATATAATTTCACTACACTAAGAATATTGTTGACCGAATTTTGTGTATTAGATGTAAAGTAACTGCACATATAATATAAATGTAAAATAAGCATCTGTAGCATTGTGACGTGAAAGAATAATTCGAATATTGTTTTAATAAAATTTCTATTGTCTCAAAACAATATTATATCGATGTTCGTGTCATTAATGCGGACAACAACAAAAGATGCAATTCGCTTAGTTAGCCTGTGGTTTTCGACAATGCCTATTTAATACTTTTAAAAATACAATTTATTTTTGAATGAATATTTACCACGGATGAAGGTTGCATGTAAATCTTATACACAATGGTGTGATTTCTTCTTTTTCGCCAATCCTAAAGTCCTCAGAGTCAATTTGACTCGTGCAAAGCAAAAAATGGCTTCTTTGTATTATTTCCAAGAGCATAATCAGGAATTAAAATATACTGATGTTATCATAATTAAATTTAAAAATAACGAAGTGTCAATTTTTTGTTTTAGTGTATGATGATAAACAGAAACAAAAGCAGGAGTTTCATCACTTAACTGAATGCGAAGATAGCAAAAATGAAAATGATGAATCTTTATCCGAAGACGAAACCATTGAAGAATACGAAAAAGTGAGAAATTATTTTCTAAATTTCATTAGTTTAGAGAAATAAAACTATTTTCTCATTTGCTAAATATATACCTTTAATTTTATTTCGATGTTTCCCTGTGTCTGAAATTGTTAAATACACTATATTTAATAAGGTAGGTAAAGTATTGTGTGAATTTTAATTCTTACCTTACGTTTCTTTGATAAAGGTTAATCGATTTAGCAGGTTATGTCAATCACTTCTTAAACACGTAAAGGTTCACACAAAATACCACTCAATTTAAATTAACACGACGTCATTATATCAGCATTTCAACGGAATCAAATGCTGCGACGTTCTGAAATAAACACTGACCGATAAAGTTAATTGTCTTAGTGTTAGACGTTTAGAGTAAAAAATGGAAAGCAATATTACACTTGGAAAAACGCTTCAGTCTTCCTGGTTTTCTACACTTATCAGTCATCCCCACACGAATGCCATTTACATTATGCAAAAGACGGGTGTTCCATTCTTACATTCTTTTTACCTATTTTCCCTAACAACCAGCAGTAACTTGCGGAATTCGATGCAATCGGCTCGCCGGTGTTTATTTGTATTTTAAAACGTCGATTAATGCCTCGTATCTCGATGTAACAGCGGCTTTATTCTAAATAATTAAGTTTAATTTACAATCTGGAACTAATGGAGATTTTGTAGTAAATGCAGTTACAAACCACCGTAATAATTTCTTTGCTAAGACACTATCGTCACAGCTACTTTCCAGACACGAAAGTGTCTAGAATGCAGCTGTAACGACGCAACTCTTTTCTTACGCCCACAGTCTCGTTTAGTAAATTTAGTAAATAAAAAAACTTGCCAAAGCAGAAGCTTCCAGAGGCTATTGTTTATAAATAGGCTTTCCTGTATTAATTATAGGGTTTTCGTGAAAGGGTCGTCGAAGGGTCAAGACGTACTACTCAGCGCTCGTTATTTCGTTGAGGTTTATACTGGATATATTGGTCGGATTGTATTGTTTGATACATCGTTGGAAAGCGGATTCGATCACGGTTGGTTTTATATTGGAATGGTTATGCTATATTTTATTAGGGGGGAGTTATGGATTATTAAATTAGGTAATATTCGGTTCGTTTAGCGGGGGGTTTTAATTGTATGGAGTGTTAGCTTATATTCTTTATTTGAGGTTACATTACTGGTCATAATTTCAATATTTAGTGCTATTTGTTTAAATTTTAACGGTTATAGTCTAGTTTTAATAATTTTCTATTTAGGTTCTTGGAACTTAACGCTCTGGATTTTCTTTGTTTGTTTCAAAGTCTAACGGTCGTTGTTATTGTCTTTCTAATGGGTTTCTTCCGGTCGTTGTAATTGTGTTTTTAACGGATTTGTAACGGTTTCTTTTGGTTTTAACGGCTGTTTTTTATTATAAAAAACATATATTAGTAATTTTATACATTTGGCTTTTAAAATTTACATTTAGGCAATATAAAATTATAATCGTTTGAAGTTAGTAAGGATAAATTATTAATATTATTTTATTTTATTATAAATGCTATTTAAAGTTTCAAAATTTTAAATTTAAATTTAAATTATTCGGGTGTTTATAAGTTTTAGTATTACTGGTTTCATTCTGGTTAGAATNAGATTTCATTAGTTTAGACCAGTGGTTCTCAATTAGTGGTACGCGTACCCCCAGGGGTACGCGAAATTGCATGAAGGGGTACGCGCGGCAATTTTAAATCGGTCGATTTGAAATTTAAATGCATGAGATAAAGCAAAAAAAAAAAATAAAAAATAAAAAAATAATAATGGATGGATCGTAAAAATTCGGCAATTTACCACACGATGTCGAATGCACAAATTCGTTAATTTATAACTAAAAATATTCTCGAAATTTCATCAAAAAATGCATTTGTGACAATACCTAAATGAAATTCTTATGCAAGAAACAAAAATTGTACAGTTAACATTATTGTCAGTGAAGTGGCAATAAAATATTTACCACCATTTTGCACAACATACCTCTGCGAGAGAGGATTTTCGGCCATGACAAACACGAAAACTAAACATCGTCACCGACTTCGACTCGAAGATGACTCGAGACTGAAGCTAACCAAAAAGCAACCAGATTTTACGAAGTTGTGCAAAGAAAATCGTGCACATTTGTCACGTTAAAATTAAATAACCTTATGTTATTTTCATTATTATTATTACAATTGTATTTTGAAGATAATATATGTAAAAAAAAAAAACTTATTCTCTTTATCACTAGCTGTCTACCCACAGCTTCTCCCGCATTATATCGAATTTTCTCGTGGGAATAAGATATTTTCTCGCAGTAAAATGTAGCCTATGTCCATCTCCAACATGTAAGCTATCTCTGTGCCAAATTTTATTAAAACCTGTTCAGCGGTTTAGACGT